TGCAGGTTAACAGGTACTCTGACTTGAACTGAGTGGTTCTTTTTGAATGAGTAAATCGTACAAATAAATGAAAAATAAAAAAAATTAAATAGAAATAATAATAAACAAAATGAGAAACTTGCCTTTTGGGAGAAGCCAAATTCCAASAACCAGAATGAAGAAATTCATTTTGTGGACCGATGAGTTGAACCTTCCAGTGTTCCGACTGTATTAGCTCTTCACAAGTGGGGTTTGCCCCTCAGCCTCAGACCACTCCGTTGTCCATCCTGCACAGACCCTGCCCACAAAAAACGTTGAAACCTACCGGAACTATTTTTTTCTCCTAGTGTTTCACTCACTTTTCAGCAGTACCCCATCAGAAACTTCCCATCTACCTCCTTCCTGTGTGAAATCCCAAGGCATTCCCAGGCCAGAGAGGACATAATCCTTTCAGCAAGTTCTGGGTCTGCCCCGGGGTCTCTTCTCTGTGGAACATGACTGGAAAACTTCAGAAGGAAGGCATCCTAATCAGATGCCTGAACCACCTCAAATGACTACTTTTTAAYGTGAATAAACTGTCCTATTAAGCCTGACAGCCCTACAAAGGAAGTTGATCTCTAGCCGCTTATCTGGATCTCATTCCTTTAATCGTGACTCAAACCTCATGACCATAGATGTTGGATATCAACAGACCTGTTGYATTGATTTCAAATATTAATCAGTTGTAGATACACAACTTCTGATTACTTCCTTTAGGTTCCGTCCACTGGTTCATGCAATGCTTTTGCTAACTCTATAGGTTAAATACCCCCCATGGTCAGTCCATGTAATAAATTAGTATTTTAAAATTGTAAATCTGGATCCCAAACAGGTATTTTTCTTTTTTGGAGCTGTTGTATCATTTACCATTCGATGATGTCACCACAGCTCCCAGAATTAAGCAACACACCTCAAAAATATCCAGTTGACATTTGATTTTCACCATATTGGTCTTTGTGGAGCCTACAACTCATTGGGGGARGGGTTTCCTAAAAGTCAAAATCATAAATATGACATTTAGTTTGTGGATGTTTTTCCCTTATTTCTGAGTTGTGCTTATTATTAGCAGGAACATGTTCCTTTTCCTTTTTTGTCGAGACCTGTGTCACATCCAGATGGGGCCAGCTGTAATAAAGACCAAACCTTTGCATAATCATTAATGGAACAGTTTTTTCTGACTTAAACATCAACAAATAAAGATGGATAGTAAAGTAAAGGTGATTTATTTGTCATCAGTGTATGTTTCCATTCAATGACGAAATTGTGCTCTGCATTTAACCCATCCACACCCAAGTGGAGCAGCGGGCAGCTTTGTGAGGCGCCCGGGGAGCAGTGAGGGTTAGGTGTCTTGCTCAAGGACACCACGACATGTGGGTATGGCGGGGAGTCGAACCTAAGACTTTYGGGTCCCAAGCCRGCTGCTCTACCACTACACCACAGCCGCCCGTATGAATCTTTTGTGCAAAATTGAAATCAAAGTCTTTTTTTTTTGGCTGCTTCCATGTTTTACACGCACCAACTTGCTGACTTATTATGAAGTAATTTTTTTTTGCGTAAAATAACTAATGAAAACTAAACATATTTAAAACAATACATATTTGACCATGTAAATCAACAAGCAAAAACTAGAAAGAGATTATCTGCAATGTATTAATTTTTTTGTCAGAAAAATTTCCCATTCTTTCACATGGAGGGGCGGGATTTAAAAACTGGACTGCAGCCAGCCTTTAGGGGGCTCTCTTTCTGCGTGGCTTCAACTTCATGCTTCCCATTCTCTTTCTAGTTATACATCTAGAAACGTTTTGACAAAATAAAAACTGTACTCATTTTTTTTTCATTTTATTATAAAATGACAAAAAAACATACTTTTACAAATAAGAGGACATAACTTAGAAACACCTTACATCTCAAACCATGAGGTGCACATAGTGTTTAGATGTTTTCTTCACAATGTTTTAACAAATAAACATTTTTCAAACATATTTTTACACACAAAAAGCTGATTTTCTTAACTTTTACTCTCAACTCTTCAACACTGTTCAAAAGGCATCAGGTTTTATAATGGCAAACTTTTACAACTTTTCCAATAGAGCGAATGTTGAAAAAAAAAACACAGGAATTACCCTTGAATTTTGTTTCAACGTGTCCTTTAAGTGGCAAATATTCTTGTTCTGTTACTGTAACATTTAGATGTGAAATGCTGCTGTTTGAACAAAGTTTCAACCAAGATGCTAACTGAGGAGGCGACTGTACTCAGAGAGTGCAGAGGACTTTTTCACACCATCCCAGATTCGAGCTGCATAATGAAACCTGCAACAAAGAGAAGAGAAACGTAAATCTGGGAGGAAAGAAGCTCCAAATGTCCACGCTGTCTGACAGGAAAGTAAAGGAACAACATTCCTTTGAGGAGTGCTTATCGCTCGTCAACTAGCTTGTTAAAGTTTCCAACAAAGACCTCAGTAACTTGTTAGCACATGGCATCATGTGTTACTCCCAACAGCAGCAACAGCCTCAATATTAACATGTTTCTTTCACTGTATAACAGTGAGAATTTTTTCTCCTGACTTATGGTGCGTTCACACCAAACGCGATTTCAGCATCAGGAGCATCAGGTTTACATACAAAGTCTATGGTGGACGCGCTTCAAGCAGCGTCGGGAAATGCTGCGGCGCCTCAAGCGCGATTAGAGCAGCGCGATTTGAACGATCTGAGCGTTCGACGCGCTGAGGCGCAAATCGCTGAAGTTAGAAAATCTGAACTTTTGCAGCTCGACGCGCCGCRTCAACCAATCAGAGAGACTCCACTGTGTGACGTAGCGACATATTTCCCGACGGGACAGTTTACTGAATGATGTCCACTAACCTGAAACAGATGGAGAGGAGCTCTTTAGCTGAAGTCGAGTGCCTGCAGTCGGTGTCCTGATCCGCATCAATGCGTGGCAGCGACTCATCAGACTGGAAAAATAGTCCTGAAAGCGAGCTGTGAGCCTCTACTCTGAATTATCTGGTGAATTAATTATGAATTAATTATCTGATGAACGTGACATGCTCTTGCTCTCTGTAAATAAAGCAAAGCCACTTCCTCGTCCGACATTAAACAGAGCCCGACAGAGGAGGGAGGGGCGGGGAGGCTCTTGCCGTGCAGCGCTTCAAGAGCTGACCTGCGTCTGACCTCAAAGTGCACAAGCGACCAACTTCAGCGTTGGCTGCGATTTTGAAGCTGAAATCGCGTTCGGTGTGAACGCAGCATAAGATTTAATTTGAAGAATTCCTGTGATAAATATATTAATTTGGGGGAAAAAAAACTTTTTTATGACACTCCTGCCTATAATATCTGCCATGCTTTTATTTGCCAGTAGCAAGTAAAGATAAGGCATATTTCTGTTCTTTCTCTTCTAATTCATACATGGAAGTACAGTTTCAGGAACATATTAATGGCATTTCAAAGCATTTCTAAAGTGAAAATTGATTTGACATACTTGCAATTTGAGTTACAACTCCACTGCAGAACAAATTAAATTCATGTCACCACTGTATACTACTGTATATGTAGATGCAATAAAAAAAAACGTATGGAAGTGTTAAAATGAATTTTTTTAATATTTAGATAAATTGTAAACATCATATATTTTTAGAACTGGTGTTCTAAGATGTTTTTTTTTTACTTGAACACCGAAGTTGCTTTTGAAAAATGGTTTAGAACCAAGATTAGTGCTATTCTAAAGTGAAACTCCATGCTGTCACGTGAGATAGTTACCAGTTTTTCTCAGTGAGAATGGTGTGTGACAGCTGACAGCGGGGCATGGCGAGCATTTGGCTGCGCAGTTTGGAGATCATGGTGGAAAAGGTGGGGTGTCCTCTGTACCCCGGCAGTAGAGAGAACAGCGGGTACGTCCCTGAGCCTAAACGCCACCAACAAAAACAGGAGGTTAGACGCAATAAATAAGAGGCTTGGTTTCATAATAGTAATGCAAGTTCGCCACAACCTGCTTTGTTCAGATTCTCTTCTCGATCRTTTTCCTGGACTGGAAGCAGAAACATGTTGACTTCAGGATCCAGGTATTCCTGTCCGAGGCCTGGGAAGATGTTGCTGTCCAATATGGACAACGTTCCTGGGAAACAAAMCACATTTTATTGGCTAAAGCCATTTGTGTTCAAGACTTTAGGTTAGCTGACAAATTCATAAACATTTATTTTCTGTTAATTTGTTGTAACATGTCAAAGTGCTTATAATAAAAAAATGTTAAGATTTATATTCAGCTTGAACAATAACTGCTTTGACAAAAACTTGTAATTGAAATCTTTTAGCAGCAAAGTTCACATGATGATTAATGTGCGCAGTTAACGCCCACATGTTGAAATAACTTCATTCACATCTTCACTATTGTGCTAAACTACTCTAAAATGTCACTATTCAGACTAAACTAAGACATTAAAAAGGATTTCCTCGTATAAACGAAATGGGATTTGAAGACATCAATTTAACAGTTTTGCACCTTTGTATTTAAGATGAGAGTGTGCCATTAGTTTGTCCACCACCATATACATGTTCTTCAGATTTCTTGGACAGAAATCCTCCCGTCTGGCTTTATTCTGGACAAAAACTGGGCAACAGTGGGAGAACAAAAGATTTAAAGATGAACAGAGGCTAAAATAAGTATAATTAAACTGGACTTGTTTTCCTTATAAAAACAGACACCTATATGAGGGTAGTACTCTGCTCCGTCATCGCTGCCTGAAGAGCCGGTGCTGTCGTGGCTCGCAGACGGAGTGGAAGGTTTCAGCATCTCAGCAGTTTGAAGAAATCTGTCAACAAACATAACAACACACAACATACAGTTACGTCAATATAATGTTCAGAGGTCAAATTGTGGCCAAATCTGTGTTAAATGGGTTATAACGCTCTCTCTTTGTAACAACTCTGCATGTTTTCCATCACACGTGTGAATTTGATTGGTTTATTTGAAAATGGGACAGTGCAATTTAATAAAACACAACAATTCACAAGTTCAAAAAACCAGAATTAGCMTAAAGGCTGTTTTCTGTCTGTAGTTCCCTAGGCCTTTTTAAAAAAAGCAAATATAAGTTATTTTAATAAGGATAAGAAATTGGACTAAGCAAAAGTATTACTGAACATCACAGTATATTTAAAGTTTTAGCTGAATCATAACACTGAAAATGTGCTGCTGAACCCTTTCAATTYAAGCACGTTTATGGGTAAAATTGACTTTGGACACCACTGCCAACTTGAGCTGAGTTTAGCACACAAAGTATCAGCAAAATCGAGTTACTCATTTCCTATAATTCAAAGCGAATATWAGAAGATCAGATTCCTGGGCCGGTTGAAGCTGAATATAAAGTCTGCACATGCTAGACCAGGGGTGGGCAATCATGGTCCTCGAGAGMMGCAGCCCTACATGTTTTACATTTTTCCCTGCTCCAACACACCTGATTCAGTCACTGAACTACCTCTTCCAAGTTCTGCAGTATGGAGGACCGACACTGACATAATTAGAAATAAAATCATAAACAGATAAATGAACATTTAAATTAATAAATGCATTTAAAATGCATCAAATAAATTAAAAAGGAGAACTTTACCTCATTTTTATAATTTAATTGACTTTCATGTTTCATATTTCATATTTATTTTTCCAGCTTAGTTCCAATAAATTATATAT